TCGGCCCATCCAGCATGCCGGCCCAGCAGCAGCCGCGCTCTCCTCTCTCCCATCGTGTCTCGCTGATGGCCCGGTCCCAGCTGTCAGACGCCTTCCCTCACCTCCCTCTCGTGTCTGGCATGGACACTGCCGCCGCCGCCCGACTCCATACCGCTCCAGAATCTGCGACCGCCACGCCTCCTCCCTTGCCTTGCGTCCCAAGTTATTTCTGCCCCACAAAAGCTAAGCCGCACCACGCCGTTCTCCTTGTCCCGAGCGCGCCGAATCGCTATAGCAAACCCTAGCACCGCCGCCATCACCGCCCGCCTCACCGAGCACCACGCCGCCCCTGTTCGCTTCACGCCGCGGTAAGCTACTTAGCTGAGTTCGTCTTGCTCTCCTCTCTCTCTCCCGGTGTCTTTGGCTCGTGAATCCGTGGCCCGTAGGCCATGTTCCATGCGCGCCGCCCGCCTCCAGCCATGGAGCCACCGTCGGAGCTCGTCGCCGACCTCGCCGACCGTTTCTCTCCCCCTTCGATTTAATCTATGCCGTCCAAATCAGATCTAACGGTCCAGACCTCACCATATCGATTCGGCCGGCTGTTTTGCAAAAGAGCCCCTGAAGTTTTCTAGAATAGAACCCGCCGTTCCTGCAATTTTTCTAAAGAACCCCTGTATTTCTTCATTTTCATGCCTGCAGTCCCTGATTCAGTTTAAAATCCAATTTTATTAACTTAAATTCTAAAATCAAGTTTCATCTATTTATAGTTTTGCCACTAATCTTGTTTTAGCCATAAAATCTTGGTTTTAACTCTGATTTGATTCGTTTGAGTTGTGTTAGGTTCGTAATTGAGTAATCTACATGTTCATATTACTGTTAAGTATGTTTTCAACTTTTAAAATTCAAGGTTAGATTTAATCTATTATTTTAATAAAGGAAATCTTGTTTAATTCGTAACTTTTTCGTTGTAGCTCCGATTTCCGTGATCTTCACGTCTGTGTGTTCGTTGTGAGACGTAGATTCGTTTTACAAACTTTTCATCTTGATTTTATGTTATTGGTGTATTGTTCTAATCTATAGCTTTTGTTTGCTATGCATGATTGCTTCTGGATGCTTGTATGTTGCTGTGATTATCGAGTATAGACGGTGAACAATTCATGGGTGACCAAGAGTATTACTTTGATGAGTAGGATCAGCAGGAGCACTTAGTTCAAGGCAAGTATAGCATGGGATCATCCTTGTTTCCTATTCACCTAAATACATTTAATTCATATTTACATGTGTCACCTTGATAGGTATTCCCTATAATTAAATTTATACCTTGTCTCCTATGGGATATGCATTGGATAGCTTTGCTAGTGCTCAATTAAACCATGATCTTGTAACTTGACTAATGGTATATGCAATAAACATTAAAACATGACTTTTTAGCAACTTGGAAACAGGGAGCTAGAGTATTTAGCTACTTTCTAAATGCTTCAGATTCCTCTCCTTTAGGACTTATCTGTAAGTGATCATCCGGGACTTACAGTACAGCTGTGAGGGCTATATGGCTCTAGCTTTAACTCAGTATGAGGACCTTTTCTAGCTTGTTAGAGGCTACCTTTATGGCATAAGAATGGCTTGCCGAATTAGGTATAGGACAACCTCTACTCTTATGTGTATAGTCGTGATGGAATTGTGCCATTCGACAGGGGGGTTCCTATATCTGTTTGCCGAGTGAATCTAATGGCCCTAACTTGTTGGACGAACCTTTGAAAGGCTTCATAGTGAACCCTGCCTGCTCACCTTGAAAGTGTTTTGAGAGTTATAAACCCAGGCATATGGGTATCATGACTCATAGTAAAAGTGTACAACCTATACAGAGTGTAAAACTGGTATATCAGCCGTGCTCACAGTCATGAGCGGCCTTGGAATATTTATGGAATAGATGATCACTAAGAATTACTCGTTTATGCTATTCATTATTCATGTTTACTTTGATCATGTGTTTTACTTTGGGATTAGAACAACTTGTTGCTACTCTTATGCTAAAATTGTGACAACTAAAAGCTAAATGCTATCAAAACCTGTGTCAAGCCTTTTGAGCCTCATGAACCCTATGTTGCACTTGTTGAGTACGACATGTACTTACGCTTGTTTATTTTCATTATTTGGATAAAAATCTCGGATGGGTAACAGATGGCTATGGTAATGACCACTTTCTTGAGGATTGCTAGACTTGTGGTCAACCAGTTGACGCCCCTGTGATATGGAGCTTTCGCGAGAGATTTTTCTTTATACTTCCGCTACATTTATGTGAAGACTATATCTTATTATTCGTGATGTAATAAACACTTGTGATGATACTATTTATAATTTGTCAGCTTATGTGTGTGACTGATCTCTGGGCGCACATAAGATTATGCATCACATTTTATCCTTAAAATCAGGTGTGACAAGTCCTCAACAAATCCTCGCATAATTAAATGTGATATGATGATATTCACATCTCTCCACACTATATGGTTCTTGTAATCGTGACATGGACAAATAATTAAATCCTTATTCTGTGTCAACATCATTGCATGGTTCTTTGCGGCTTGAATAAATTTATCCACCTCCTCATGGAAACCTGGCTTCCACCTTAACGAACGATACATCCAAGACTTCTCCATCTTTTATGACAACAATAAAAGAAAATACATTAAAGGACTAATTATTTGGATATATATAAATGTATATACATGAATCAAATTAATAATTCATTGAAATAAATAATTACTATTGTTCCTATAAGCAAATATAATGATACGATGCATATCAAACACCATGCTACAGAATAATTAATTAATGACCTATTATCCATAACTAATTAAAAAAATACATTTCTTGATTAGAATAAATAATTTCAAAGACAACAATTAGCAACAATTAATATTTTACCCACTAACCTTCATGCAAACTTAATCCCATTTCGATAAACAAAAAATTACAAAAATAAAAAAAATAAAAAAACAAAACCCTAGATCTAGATCTAGATCTAGATGTACATGACACATCCATAAAACTTTACTAATAGTCCACTAAAATTAAAGAAAGATCGACTAATAAAAGGTGTACTCTTATTCCTCTAACTAATTTATCCTACTACAATCAAAACTAAGGTCTAATTTGCTTCATACATGGCTCAAGCACCATAGAAGAGAGAGAAAAGCAAAACTCTAATTACTCACTAACCAACCATTAAAATTACAAAAAAAACACTTGGAATAGCATTTTTTTACCTTCTATAATCTCTCTACCGAACAAAATGAAACCAAAACCTCCCCCTTAGTAGAGCAATTTTTAGGAGGTGCCCAAGACATCCCTACCTTTTTTCACGGGTTGGAGTGAGTGACCCAAGGAAGAAAAAGAGTGGCTGCTCTATATATACGTGGATCATTTGTAGGGGCGGCTGATGATTGAGCCACCCCTATAAATAAAAAGAGCAGGGGCGGCTGGTAATAACCGCCCCTACAAATCGAACAGTAAGGGCGGCTGGTGATTGAGCCGCCCCTACAAATCAACATATTTATAGGGGTTACTCGTATCACCGGCCACCTCTACTGTTCCATTTGTAGGGGCGGCTCCTCTCGTGGGACCCTGGCGTGGCCACTGTAGGGGCGACTGCAGAGTGAGCCGCACCTAAAAAAAGCCCCATTGCTATAGGGCTTTTGTGTAGTAGTGATATACGATGGATAAAATTAATATAAACCTATGATAAAAGAAAAACAAACGTGATAAGTGAAAGCAACGGTTGTATCGTAGCTCAATCTACTCTATTTATACTCCATTCATCATGAAATATAAAGGATCAAAATTTGTCATAAGTCAAACTATGTTAAGTTTGACCAATTTTATAGAGAAGTGTATTAACATTTACCGCAACAAAAAAAGGTATATTACACAAATAGATTTCATGACGTAGCCAATTAAGCTAATTTGAAAGCCTACATATTTTTCTTCTTTTCTATAAACTTGGTCAAGTTAATTATAATTTGACCTAACACAAAACTGGATCCCTTATATTTCAGGATAAAGACCTACTAATTAGTATTTTTTGCAAAACCTACATGTCATGGTTTATGAAGTAGATTATCCAACTTATATTAGCATGTGGGTGCTCAAATGTTTGGTTACTGTTCTTTCACTAACAGGTGATGTTGCCATAGGCAACGAGACGTCTGTTATAACATTATACTACTATTTTTTTGTGAACATAACATTATACTATTAGTGTAAAGATAACCCCCTATCTTGGTTTTTTTTCGTTCAAAGCCATTGAGATAGTGTGTACAAAGCGTCGACCTATCTCTACTATGTCAGGGGGAAAAAATCTTTGAAAAAAATATCCTCCTCTAGTTTATTTCAATGCTTGCTTGAACAATACTATCTCTGTCCCAAAATAGATGACATTTTAGATTTGGATACAGGAATTAAGGAAAAGTGAAAAATGTGTTATGCACATAAAACAAGAAGGAAAGAGATAGGGAGAAATATAGCGATAAATATGTGTTGGGAGAAGAGAAATGTGTATTGAAAAGTGAGCGTGCCAAATATTTTGTGATAAAATTTGAATCCTATAAGGTAAAGTATTTTAGGATTGAGAGAGTAGGCTCGAGCACGTACAATTGGTGACGCATGGTAGCTAGGCAGGCAGCAGGCATTGTTTCTCCCTGCCGTCGCCCTCCGTTGGCTCCATTCCACCCAGCGCCTGCCCCGTGCCACCCCCCCCCCCCTATTTAAACCCCATGAGTGCAACCCCTCCTCCTACACAACCCGCCCATTGTTTCTCCCTTCTTCCATCCTTCCTCTCTCCCTCTCCCTCTCACTCACTTTGTTTCGCCCATCCGTCTCTGTCATCTCATACATACATACTCGAATACTCGATCCATCCATCACATATCCACACACACCCATACAGAGAGAGAAACAGCTACTAGTCTACAAGTGGGTAGCGAGCAGCTAGACTAGTGATCGATCACTTGATCGATCCATCGATGGCAGCAGCAGACGAATCAGCGCCGGCGGCGAGCCGGGTGGTGTGGGTGAACGGGCCGATCGTGGTGGGCGCGGGTCCAGCGGGGCTCTCCGTGGCGGCGTGCCTGCGCGCGCGCGGGGTGCCCTGCGTCGTGCTGGACCGCGCCGACTGCATCGCGTCCTTGTGGCAGCGCCGCACCTACGACCGCCTCCGCCTGCACCTGCCGCGCCACTTCTGCGAGCTCCCCGGGATGCCGTTCCCGGACCACTACCCGGAGTACCCCACCAAGCGCCAGTTCGTCGACTACCTCAACGCCTACGCGGAACGGTCCGGCGTCCAGCCGCGGTTCAACCAGGCGGTCACGTCCGCGCGGTACGACGCCGCCGCGGGGCTCTGGCGGGTGCGCGCGGAGGACGTTAGCGCTGTTGCTGCTGCTGAGGACGCCGCTGCGACGACCGAGTACATCGGCCGCTGGCTCGTCGTCGCCACGGGCGAGAACGCCGAGCGCATCGTCCCGGAGTTCGAGGGCGCGCGGGACTACGCGGGTCCTGTATCACACGTCTCCGAGTACAAGTGCGGCGAGGCCTACCGCGGCAAGCGCGTCCTCGTCGTCGGGTGCGGGAACTCCGGCATGGAGGTCTGCCTCGACCTCTGCGACCACAATGCCCTCCCATTCATGGTCGTCAGGGACGCGGTGAGCACGCACGACACGACGCACCGACCACTCCATCCATCACTCGATTATTTCTCTTTGGCTGACTCGATTCAATTCTTTCTCGACAAGAAGGTGCACGTCCTGCCTAGGGAGATGTTCGGCGTGGCCACCTTCTCCATCGCCGTCTTGCTCCTCCGCTTCCTGCCGCTCTGGCTGGTGGACGCCATCCTCGTCCTCCTAGCGCGCCTCTTCCTAGGCGACCTGGACAAGCTCGGCATCCGCCGCCCGCCCGGGGGGCCGCTCGAGCTCAAGAACGCCAGGGGCAGGACCCCCGTGCTCGACATCGGCGCGCTCGCCAGGATCCGCTCCGGACACATACAGGTCGTGCCGGGGATCAAGAGGTTCTCCCGCGGCGGCGCCGTGCTCGTCGACGGCCGACGCGTCGCCGCCGACGCGGTCATACTGGCCACCGGCTACCACAGCAACGTCCCTCAGTGGCTCAAGGTACAACATGTTGATTAACTTCATGCATGTCACATCCATAGTGCTTGGCTCACCTTTTTTTTCATTCATTCACAATAATAACGGTGGTTAATTAATAATATATAAAAACCTCAACTTTCATAGGATTTTATTTGTTGAAGAAAAGAAAAATCTAAAGAGGAAATTATGCTAGCTAGCAACTAACTTTACAAACCATTTTTATGTGAACTTGATAAGAAGAGGTGTATTGTATTTGTACCCAAAAGGGCCTCGCTCGCTCTAAAAAGGCTGGATAATGATGCCTAACAAAGCAGGGCTTAATTTCTAATGCCAATTTGACAGTTCTAAAGCCGTTAGGTAGTACTAAAAGTGCCATCCTCCATTCCTCTAAATACTTTTTGCTGTTATACTATATCATAAAGTTTTTTTTTTAAAAAAAAACAGAACTTGCACTGTCATCTAAATTGGGGCTCTCCTCTTGTGTGCTCAGGGAAGTGATTTCTTCACCGAGGAAGGGTACCCAAGGGTGCCGTTTCCACACGGCTGGAAGGGGGAGTCAGGGCTCTACTCTGTTGGCTTCACCAGGAGAGGCCTCTCCGGCGTCTCCTCCGACGCTGTCAAGGTTGCGCAGGACATCGCCGTGGAATGGGAGAAGCAAACCTCCACAAGATGATGATGACGATGATGATGCTAATGATGATGATGGATGCCCATCAACTTACCGATTGATGACCTCTCATGAATGCATGGACCTGCTAACTTCAGATATCTAGCTTGTCATCATGCATGCATGTCCAGCAAAAGTGCAAAACTTGACCTAATTTGGCCAAGAGCTGTCCAAGCACAAATTCAGAGATATATAGGTGATCGATCATCTTGGAGCAGAGAACGAAGTTCAGGGTAACCATAATAAACCAAGAAACAGAGGAGAAGCAAGCGCGCATCGGCATACTACAGCAGCGGATCCAGGCTCCGGAGGTTCCGAAAACTGGAGAGCGAGCCTCACGGTCATGGATGCTTCATGCTTGGGCAATGGCCAGAAGGCCGGAGATATTGAGCGCGTCATGTAGAGCCCAGATTTTGCTGTACCCATGGGCCCTTGTATATGTAGAGAGGAGTGTTATTATGTAGTAAAGTTGTGTACTAGTAGTAGTAGTACCTTACCTCTAGTGGTTGGTAGAGTGTTAGCGTTGACATGCATGTGTACCATCTTGATGTTTATGTATGGAGTTGACAATGAGAATGACCTATTCTATTTAATTTTTTTAAACATTACAGTAACAGCTAGCTCCAAGTTAAGTTGTGCTTTTCTGTTCTATTTGGGACCATGTTCCAATACTATTTGCAATCAGGAAAAGGAAAACAGAGATTATTCAAGGTAGTCTTCTTCCTAACCATAGAACTCGGTCACTTTAAAAATGTCCAAAGAGATTTGACACTGTTAGGATTTCATACGAATACAGCTTCTGTAAAGTATCTCGCAGGATTGAAGTACAAGTCTGTCTCTATCCTGCCACAAAAGTTCATCAAAAGTTTACTGCAATATGCAATTAATAAAGCAGGATAGGAAAAAATATCACATTTTGAGCATCCAGCAGCAACAAGTCATATCTAAAAAAGGGCAGCATACACGTAACAAGTTAACGTGATTTCTGTCACGCACCTAACTGTTCATATTTTTGTGTTTTGTGTGTTTGGCGTATGTCGAATCATTAAAAATCGTTACTAAAGTTCTTCACTTTGGAAGAAAAGAGAGCATTGAGCTATAGAGCATAAGTTCCTGCAAGAATTTCATATGATATTTTGCGTACGGTGATAAGAACCTATGTTTCTCCATTGCAAATTAATGGGACCAATATGCTGGTTTTGGTTTGGTTTTACTGAAAGGAGTGGCAGGAGTTCTGCTGTCCATTATTAAAAAGAGAAAAAAAAAGGCCTACAAAGTACAACGCCCGGCCGGTCCTCCCAAATAAACTCATTGACATATATGCCGTTCTAATGATGCCTGAACTTTAATCTAACTTTGTTGTAGTGAAAGAACAGCATCATCGCGCTGGAATCCATGGATTACCTTTACATTACCTGGGGTTGCAGGGAATAATAAGGTTCAATACTATTCATCGTTTGTGGTGGAAAGTCTAGTAGAGAACACCAGATCTCATCTGACAGTAATACCACCCCTGAGCAAATTGCTGAAGGACCCAATGAAGAAGGGTACGCATGTGTATTTTGCCAAAAAGAATATCCAATAACGTAGATCCATCATCTCACCTATATAGTGCAGATTAGAAGGCTCGAAGCTAGAGAGCTACTCGGCCTTGGCTCGCTTCAACAACCATGAACTTGAACACCTTTTTTTGAAACGAACCATGTAGAAAAGGTACTGATGATATTAAGTAGAAGAAAAGACAGACTGGGTAGTACAACAAAGCAATAAGAGCAACCTCAAGGGGCGGAACCAAGAAAAAAACGACGACGATGACAACTAAACCGAAAAACTGAGCTTGAACACTATGGTTAAGAGTTACTGTAATACTTTTAGTAATTGCTAGTCCCACACACTCTCTGACCTGCCTGTTCGCTTATTCGTAAACGATCGTAAATTTTCAGCCGGGAACAGTGTTTTTCTCTCACACCAAACCAGCCAGCAGTAAATAATCCACGATACGATACGGCCTCCCGAACAGGCTGCATACTTTTTCCCAAATCGTGTTAAAGCCAAGCTTCAGCACCTAGTTCTTACATTGATGGATTCTAAGGAGCCTGATCGAGGAATGTACTCAAGGGCTCTTTTGGATACACCCATTCCTCATGTGGATTGAGTTTCCTCCTCAATCCAAAGGAGTTCCCTAACAGTATGATGCATGGTTCCACATTTTTGGTGACTATATATGGTCAGCCAACCTTTTTTGGAAAGTATCGTTTGAAAGTATATTTACCCACTCTTTTGTGGCCAAACAAGTTTAATAGACAATTTTTGAATTGAAATGTATCTGCCAAAAATTTTGGAGCAAACCTTGAACCTAACTTAAATCTCCGAAGATAAATTCCAGCTTACAGGTTGATCACCGTGTAGCACTCAAATCAGCCATTTTTGCGAAGACGGCAAGCAACCATGTATATATACGTTTAAATAGGCCAACGTACCAAGGGAAATAAAGCTGCTGGCATCCCTAAGCATGTGCGAAATAACTCCCCGCGCCTGTAACGATTCCTAATTAAGCAAATCCTATTTGGGCATGTTGTATGTACGTACTACGTACACTAAACGCGTGCGAAACGAGTTTGTACAAGCTCGTCGAGGCCACGGTGCAGAGCAGAGGAGTCCGGAGCATCGGCACAAGGCGTGCAGAGGCGCTCCTCCCACTCCCTCCCCTCCCCTCCCCTCCCATCTCTTGGCGTGTCGTTTTCGATCGGTGGCCAGGCCACGAGAAGGATCGCCTATTCTAGCGTCGCTTTCCGAAACATCAAAACGCCTTAGCTGTGGCAATTCAATTCGGCGACTCCCATCCGGGGAGCCTTCCATTCAGCGGCCGGCCGGATACCTATGTCGACCACGCCACATACGCTGCTGCCAAGGTACTGACTGGTCTGGACAGGGGTCGATTACCCCGTGTCGCTGTTCAGAACAGTCAAACCGCCGTGAGATTGAATTTCCTCCGTCAATGTTCACTGAGTTGGTTTTGCCCCTGTTCTCACACACAAGTGGCGGAGCTAGACCAAAATTTTAAGTGGGCCAACACTAGAGCAACTTGGCGGATCGATCGGCGGGCGATAGCCATGTGCCCCGATGAGTGACGAGCAGTGGTGCATTGATGCTCTAAATGCAAACAAATGAGAAAGTCCGCCGCAACGAACGGTGTCTAGGGATGGCGAGTAGATGACGTGCTCTGATATGAGCGAGCGCAAAAGTCAGGAGAGAGACTAAGAGGGCGGTGGCGCCCTGGTGCTATGTTAGAGTGTGTTTGGTAAAGCTTCTCAATCAGCTTCACAAGGCTGTTTTCATCTTCTCTTGGGTGGGAAAAGCTGTTTCTCAGCTCCTCTCGTATGCGCGGTTCTCTAGGTGAAGCTAACAATATTAGTTTCTTTCAGCTTTCTCTCTGCTATCTTTCCTCAAAAGATGTTTTACCAAACATTTATTAAAATAGATTCAGCTCTACTCGGTAAAGCTGTTTTTAGAGCAAAGCCATCAAAAGTTAATTCACTAGTGAAGCTGAGTTGTACCAAACGGACCCTTAATGTGTTAGGCTAATGGGCTCAAAGTTGAGCCATGGCTTAGCCTGTCAAAAGGCACCCACTCGGCCTTCCTTTCTCATACTGAGTCACCACGCTGCCATAAGTGTCATTGCAGATGTTACATGACCACCTAGTAGATCTGCTGGGAGGAAGGAGGAAGAGAAGAAAGGTGTCCCGGTAGGTGGTGTGTGAGAGGCTGAGAGCGGCTGCCTCACCCCCTAATATTTGGAGGGCTTCATCTAGCACATACATTCAATGAAAACAACATAAACTTATGATGGACGAGTCACCATAGATGTACTCTTAGCGCAACATTGAGGCTAGACATACAACTTTCTAGGAAGTACCCCACCGGGAGCCTTGTATGCCCTTTCTTGATTGCACCAGCAGATAGGATGTAAGCAGACTAGTCCATGAACCTATATATAAACTTAATTTTATGAGTTGCTCTTAGCAACCCATAAGATTAAACTTATCATACGTTGGTTGGTGAGTTAGCCTGCTTGCATCTGCGGGTGGTTCCTCACCCACCCTCACGACAAGATGGCCAGCCCCGCGTGTACTGTGCTCGGATTCTCGGAACATACGAGCGTCACGTGTACGTGTCCGTACACGGATAGTACTGGATACATACGCCCTCCATTATAATTATAATGATGCTGGGCTTACTCCGACGTCGTACTGTATCAGGTTCATGATACCTCGTCTCCAATGATCCGACTTGTCACGTGAGCGCCCTACCTTGTGCTGGTAGCGTATATATCTACAGTGGTTTGTACATCCTAAACTAAATCTTCTAGTGATGTGCACTGTGCGCGTGTATGGATACTGGACCCCCTAATGTGCCGTTGCGAGTTGTGTGCGCTGCAAAGGCGAGGAGAGATCCATGCATGCGCGCACGACCACGTCCACGTCCACCTGGCTCAGCTCACCTAGCTGCATCCGATTTTCACTGTGGCACCCCATGTGGTCCAGATGAAGAGAAGAGAGCATCATGATACATCATCATCAGTCTCTCTCACCTCCCCTCCACTCCAACAGGGGTCAAGCGTGGACTGTCAAGTAACTATTGCACGGCGAACATTTGCAGGTGCCTCAACAGCAGCGGCGCCCAGATTTTCCAAGACATTCCTTTTCACTGATGCAAAGGTGGGTTAAGGTTGATGCACGCACCACTGTGCGGCCTTAACTCCCGGCCCGGCGTCGCCCACATGGAAAGCTAGCGCGGTGTCGGCTCACCAATCTGCGTAGGGGCACTGTCGCCACGAGGCTACACCATCTTGGACACCTGGCCGCTGCCAATCTATCTCGAAATGTTACCATCTTGGGGCCAGGTAGGATAGGATGCGATGGGAGGAGAAACCGGTGGAAAATTCGGAACTCATAACCGGCCCCTGCATTAGAGCGAGACATTCGATGGTGAGAGACTTGAACCTG